CACATGAGGGAAAAAGAGACTTTATTCAGTAGCTCAAGCACTACACAGCAATTGATAAAGAAAATTGGCTCATAGTAGGGGATTTCAATCTTCTGAAGTTCTGAGAAAACCTGAAGACAGAAACAAACCTGGTGGGGATGTGAATGAAATGTTGCTCTTTAATGAAGCCATAAGTTCTTTTGGTCAGATTGAGCTACCTTTGCATGGTAGAAAGTACACTTGGACAAATAAGCAGCCCTCACCCCTTATAGAGAGATTGGATTGGTTTTTCACATCCAGTTCTTGGACCACTTCTTACCCAAACACAACTGTTAGTGCCCTGGTAATGCAGACCTCTGATCACTGGCTCTGCAACATAACAATTTCAACAACTATCCCCAAAAGTCAAGTTTTCATGTTTGAAAATTACTGGTTGCAGCAACCATCCTTCACACAAGTTGCACAGCAAGGTTGGGAAGCAATTGACAGTCAACCTGACAAAGCAAAAACAGTCACTGCTAAGTTCAAAAATTTGAGGAAAATTTTGAGAACATGGAAACAAAATCTTTCAAACCTCAAAAGAAATCTGGATAATATCAAGGTCATCCTTTCTCTCTTAGAAATAATTGAAGAATCCAGAGATTTGACAGTGATGGAATGAAATTTCAAAGAGGTCCTCGTTGAAAAGTTGAACAACCTCCTGGAGCAGCAAAGAATCTATTAGAAACAAAGAAGCAAAATTAGATGGGTTAAAGATGCAGATGCTGGGACTAAGCTCTTTCGTGCAAATGCAACTATCAAGCACAGAAACAATTTGATAGCACAGCTATAGAAGGATAATGGGGAAATAGTTCACAATCATGCAGAGAAGGAAGTCATTCTTTAGGAAGCTTTGAAGGACAGATTGGGGCACTATGACTTTACCTCCGTGGCTTTCAATCTCAGCTATTTCTTGGAGATTAACTCAGAGTTGTCTTGGCTGGAGGATCCTTTCACTAGAGAACAAATTGATGCAGTTGCCAGAAATCTGCCTAATGACAAAGCCCCTGGTCCAGATGGGTTTAACAATGAGTTTATCAAGAGGTGCTGGCAATTTATTAAAGAAGACTTCTATGCTCTTTGTGTTGCTTTTCAAGAAGGTACAGCTAACATTCAGAGCATAAATGACTCCTACATCACTCTCATCCCAAAAATTGATGGGGCTCAACAAGTTGGTGATTTCAGGCCAATTTCCTCACTAAATTGCTCTATCAAACTAATCACAAAGCTTCTAGCAAACAGGCTGCAGAGTGTGATCCTTCAACCGATACATCAAAACCAGTATGGCTTCATCAGGACAAGGACAATCTAGGATTGTCTTGCCTGGTCCTTTAAGTACCTTCACTTATGTCATCACTCTAAGAAGGAAATTGTGGTCCTAAAGCTGGATTTTGAAAAGGCATTTGACAAGATAGAACATAAGGTGATTTTGGATATTTTAGCTCACAAAGGCTTTGGTTTGAAAAGGAGGGCATGGATTGAATCAATTCTCAAATCTGGAACATCAGCAGTATTGTTAAATGGAGTCCCTAGAAAAACTTTCCATTGCAAGAGAGGTGTTAGGCAAGGTGATCCCCTCTCTCCATTGCTTTTTGTCCTTGCTGCTGATCTACTACAATCCATCGTCAACAAAGCAGTCCAACATGGTCTTCTTAGATTGCCAATCCCAACTCCCAGTTCAGATTTCCCAGTCATTCAGTATGCAGATGATACTTTGATCATCTTGGAAGCCTCAGCCACACAGCTCTTCTTCCTCAAGTGTGTCCTTCAATCCTTCAGTGACTCAACTGGGTTGAAAATTAACTTTTCCAAATCCATGATGGTTCCCATAAACTTGAAGATTGAGAAGCTCAATCACCTTGCCAGAACCTTTGGTTGTCAGACTGGCTCTTTCCCCTTCACATATTTGGGCCTGCCAATGGGATTGACTAGACCAAAGGTAGATGATTTTCTTCCTCTTATAAGCAAGTGTGAAAGAAGATTAAATTATATCTCCCCCTTCCTCAGCCAAGCTGGCAGATTAGAGCTCACTAATTCAGTTCTGATAGCTTTACCAACCTACACCATGTGCTCTATTGCTCTGCCCAAAACAGTGTTAAAACAAATTGACAAATATAGAAGACACTATCTTTGGAGAGGAGCAGAGGCAAATACAAAAAAAGTAGCAAAGGCAGTATGGCCCTTAGTCTGTATCCCTAAAGAAGAAGGTGGTTTGGGTATTCTCAATCTTCAAACTCACAATGAAGCACTATTACTCAAGCACTTGCACAAATTTTTTTATAAGTGCAATTTTCCATGGGTGGAGCTAATTTGGGATAAGCACTATAGAAATGGAAGACTGCCAAGTTCCAATGTACCAAAAGGGTCTTTCTGGTGGAGAGATGTATTGAAACTGCTTCATAAGTATAAGGGGATGGCAAGTGTGATGATATCTGATGGACAGTCATGTCTGCTTTGGGATGATCTATGGAATGGCCATGTAAGAAAATTGCAGTTTCCAGAACTATATTCCTTTGCAAAAAACAAATCAATAAGTTTAAGTAAGGCACTTGGTACGGTCACCTTCCATGATTTGTTCATCCTTCCAGTTTCAATTGAGGCCTACAACCAGCTGCAAGATTTCCAACTTGAGTTATCAGAAATATTGCTTAACGATGAGAATGACAGATGGACATACATTTGGGGCAATAACCAGTTTTCCTTTGCAAAATTATACAAATCACTCACAGGACATTCTCAAGTTGAACCAATTTATAAATGGTTTTGGAAGACATCTTGCCAAGGAAAACACACAAAAAAAAATTCTGGCTTGCTCTTAAGGACAAACTGAGTACTAGGAACATGATCAGTAGAAGAGGTATGCATCTAGATGATTATCAATGTGTTCTTTGTCAGCAGTCTACTGAGGAGACAGTCATGCACCTGCTGTTCTATTGCCCCTTTGCTAAAAACTGTTGGAACCTAGTGAACTTTCACTTTGGTGATCACCTTTCAATTCAACAAATCTTTCAAGCTTGGAAGTCTATGCTACAGATTGAGTTTTCTCTGGATATTTTCATTATTTTCTGCTGGAGGATCTGGATGATGAGGAATGATGTTATTTTTAGAAACAAAAATCCCTCGGTGGAAGACTGCAAGTCTTGTATAACAGTGGAGGCACTTCTTTTGTTGCATAGATGCAAAGCTAGACTGATCCCCCTCTTAGAATCATGGATCAATTCCAACTTGTAATTTTTTGGATTTTTTCCTTTCTTTCTGTGTTCCCTAATTTCTTGGGAATAAGCCGAGTGGAGCAGTTGTAGTTTCTATTCCCCCCTATTCGGACTTTGTAACTATACTCTTTGTTTCTTTTAATGCATTTGCAGTAGGAGCCTCTGGCTCCTGATTCCTCAAAAAAAAAAAACACTTTCTCCATCAAATTGTAAATAACCCATAAAACCATAAAGAGGTTTTTGAAAAATACCTTTACTAGGATGGGGAATGCCTAGCCTACTAAAGGAAAGGCCCAGCCAAACAGGGTGCATCAACTACTTGGAAGACAAGACATCGACTAGATAAGCTTAAAAGCCAAATAATTCAACTTGATCCATTCAGAATCCATTAGATTCCTTACAACAAACTAGAAAATTATATATACAAATTCATCAACGTTCCTTTTATAAACTCTACACCCCCACCTCCGCTCTCGGACTATATAACGGGAGGAAGGGGCGTCCCAGGCGCCATCTAGACATCCCATACCTTCAAATCCTCGACAAACTCATTAGTGACCCTATGAACCCAAGCGCACGACGCAAGAGAAGCATTCTCCACTACACAGGGTACTTTGTACCTAAACCAAAATGGATATGGGTCTTGTGTGCTATCCATTTGATTCTCTATGCACAAAACGTTGATCTACATGTTGGATAGAAAATCGTATGACAATGTGTCTCCACCTACTTAGCATCAACATAAGCTCTTTGATGTTGGCTCATGTCCCACATAATCCTTTTCTCAAGATTCCATCAAGCTTGCCATAGTCTTGTCAACTTGCCAAGTCCAAGGCACGCAACATGTAGCACCTAATCTGTTGACGAATGAAAGCGATCGAGAGAGAATCTGAGATTCGCGTGCCACATGCCAGCCAGCTAGTTTCGTCTGACACGGCTCCCTCAGGTCCATATATAAAGAACTTTTTCTTCACTAAAACGTTGTGGTGTCATAAAAAAATACATATCTGACAGGCTATTAAATACAAATAAAACTCTCATAACACTCTCACTGACACTGGCCTTATGGTCTATATATAAAGAGTCCAGCTCACCGTAGCCTATAGCTAGCTTCAGATCGGGAGCACAAGATGCGAGGAGCTAGCAAATCTGTGAAACCGATCTCTCCTTGATCTTCGGTGCTGCTAGCAGTTCAGTCCACTCAAGCTAGCTAAGGGGTCGCTAATATACCCATTCACCATGGCCAGCAACGGCACGGACGCCGCCGCCGACATGACGGTGCCGCAGCCACCGCCGTCGCAGGGGAGGCTCATCACGGTGCTGAGCATCGACGGCGGCGGCATCCGTGGGCTCATCCCTGCCACTATCATCACCTGCCTCGAGGCCAAGCTCCAGGTATATTATCTATGAGCATCACATCAGGGAACGGATTAATAGCACAAACATAAAGCCAGGAACTTCGTTAATGACCCACTCTTTGTACGTGGTTAATTTGAGCGCAGGAACTGGACGGGCCGGACGCACGCATCGCCGACTACTTCGACGTGATCGCCGGGACGAGCACCGGCGCGCTGCTGACATCGATGCTGGCGGCGCCGGACGAGAACCGGCGGCCTCTGTTCGCCGCCAAGGACCTCACCACCTTCTACCTCGAGAACGGCCCCAAGATCTTCCCACAGAGAAAGTACGTACTAACCTCGCGGCCGTTATGTCGTCCAACCATCTTCCGACGTTGATTATAGCCGATGATGCTCCCTGCTGCTGCTGCAGGGTGGGGTGGCTGACGCCGGTGGCCAACCTGATCGGCACGATGAGGGGTCCCAAGTACGACGGCGTGTTCCTGCACGACAAGATCAAGAGCCTCACGCACGACGTGCGGATCGCGGACACGGTCACCAACATCGTGGTGCCGGCGTTCGACGTCAAGTACCTGCAGCCGATCATCTTCTCCACGTACGAGGCCAAGAGCGACGCCCTCAAGAACGCGCACCTTTCCGACATCTGCATCAGCACGTCGGCGGCGCCCACCTACTTCCCCGCGCACTACTTCACGACGGAGCCCGGCCCCGGGGACGGGCGGCCGCCGCGGGAGTACCACCTCGTCGACGGCGGCGTGGCGGCCAACAACCCCACGATGATCGCCATGTCCATGCTCACCAAGGAGGTGCTCCGCCGGAACCCGGACTTCAACCCCGGGAAGCCGACCGAGTACCGGAACTACCTCGTCATCTCCGTCGGGACCGGGTCCGCCAAGCTTGCCGAGAAGTACACCGCACCGCAGTGCGCCAAGTGGGGGCTCATCCAGTGGCTCTACGAGGGCGGGTTCACCCCCATCATCGACATCTTCTCGCACGCCAGCGCCGACATGGTCGACATCCATGCCGCCGTGCTCTTCGAGGCCCTCCATTGCGAGAAGAATTACCTCCGCATTCAGGTACGACGTACGTGGTAACTACTACTACTGGTAACTAAAATTAACCGAGACCACCTATGTAAATGGCGTACTCCCATGTATCCATTATATTAGTAGTTCATATGACAAATTTTTTTTGGATATGTAGGATGATTCTCTGACGGGCCATGCGTCGTCGGTGGACATCGCGACGAAGGAGAACATGGAGGCACTGATTGGGATTGGGAAGCAGCTGCTCAAGAAGCCGGTGTCGAGAGTGAACATCGACACGGGGATGTACGAGGCCGTCGCCGGAGAGGGCACCAACGAGGACGCGCTTGCACGATTCGCAAAGATGCTCTCCGACGAGAGGCGGCTGCGCCAGACCAACCTCAACTCCTACTAGGAACTAGCTATGTTGCTTCTGTGTTGTATGTTGGTGCTTGCAAATAATTGAGCATGGAGAATAGAGAGAGAGCTAGTTCGGTCCCTGGTGTTTGTTGTAAACAGTGCCACATCAGTTGTCGCTCAGAACTTCGGTCCCCAGTGCATATGTATGGTATGATCATCAATAATGTTGTCAAAAAATGAGAAAAATTTAAAATATTGTGTAGTATACTCCCTCCGTCCCGGATTAATCGGACGTCTCGCGTTCAAAAATTTTTCCAACATTAATCGGTCACATAGGCCTGAAGCCTTGAACCTGGCGGACGCATACAGCCCGTCCCAGAGTACGGACTGATCCAATCACAACTGCAGACGCCCTCTTTGCCGAGTGCTGGGGGCACTCGGCAAAGCCAGGCAAGCACTCGGCAAAGGCTTTGCCGAGTGCCGCACTCGGCAAAGGCCTCTCGGCAAAGACTTTGTCGGCAAAAATTTCTTTGCCGAGTGCCAAAAATCGACACTCGGCAAAGTCTTTGCCGAGTGCCAAGCCCGCACTCGGCAAAAAAATAACTGCCGTCAACATTTAACGCCGGCTTTGCCGAGTGCCTAGGGACTGGCACTCGGCAAAATTTGAATGTTTGCCGAGAGCCAGGGCTGAGCACTCGGCAAAGAAACAATTTTTTTTAAAAAAATCTTTTTAAAAATAGTCTTTGCCGAGTGGTACCATCTGGCACTCGGCAAAATTGATCTCTTTGCCGAGTGCCAGGCTGTGGCACTCGGCAAAATGTACCTCTCTGCCGAGTGCCAGGCTGTGGCACTCGGCAAAATTGACCTCTTTGCCAAGTGCCAGGCTGTGGCACTCGGCAAAACTGGGGAAGTGGCTGTTTTTTGCGGCATTTTTTCCCAGCTTTGCCGAGTGCCACACCCCTGGCACTCGGCAAAGACTTCTTTACCGAGTGTTGCCACACCCCTGGCACTCCGCAAAGACTTCTTTGCCGAGTGTTGGCACTCGGCAAAGCTGGGAAATTTGCAATTTTTGTTTGTTTGTTGCTTTCCTTCGAAAGCAAACACGCAAAACTCATATATAATACATGAGACAGCACACAGGCATTTAGCATCACACAAAACGCATACATAATCCATAATACATCACAAGCACATTCAACATCCATCACAAGCACATCCTCCTGCATAATCCATCACACGCACATCCAATGTGCAAATCCATGACAACATCTAAGAAGTCTTCATCCAACACAAGTCCTAAATCAAGAAAAGTCAATGAAATATGAAGGGCACCACCCCTCGCCACTTGATCCCAATGGGAACTGAAGGGCACCTCCGTGCGGTGGTGGACCTGTCCAGCCGGGGTGTGTGTGCTGAGGCGAAGGAGTCGGGTTCGAACCCGACGACTGTTGCACAAAGGAGAATTGAATTCATTAGTATCTACACAAGCTAAAGGACTTGATCAACCATATATATATACTCACCGGAGTGTGTAGAGCCGGAGGAGTAGGAGGCACAAGCTGAGCGAAAGCAATGATGGGGCACCACCACACCCGGGAGAGTGGTGTCGAGGCTCGACATGAATGAGAACATGTCCTGCATCCTCGTGCCTCGGCCGCCCTCTGGGCCCTCGGGACCTCCCACTCGGCCCTCTCGGCCTCCCTCTAGGCCCTCTCCTCTCCCTCTCGAACCCTCTCGGCCTCCCTCTCGGCCTCCATCCTCTCCACGGTGGCTGCAATATTCAATCACCAACGTTTAAACAATGCAAATGCAAGGTACATGTGTAAAAGTAATGAACGGCGAATGAAATAGAACTAACTGGAGTGCCGCCATCATGCTGCTGCAGTGTGCTCGCTTTGCCGAGGTCGAATGGGGATGGAGGAGCTCGTGCTCTGTGCTCGGATCTGGGGCGAGGTTGGGCACAGGAGGAGGTCGAGTCGACCATGTTGGAGGCCATCCGATGGCGGCGGTCTTGCTTCCCTCCTCCGAGCCTCATCACAAGGTCGGTATCAAGGGGCTGGGTGGCGGGGTTGAAGTCCTCCCCATGCCGCTCATGGGCCGCCGAGGCGTGTAGTCGGTGAGCTTCTTTGTGGGACTTCGTGTTGTTGTACGCCTCGGGCCCGTCCTCCGGGTTGTAGACGGTGTCCGGGGCTGTCGCCTTGCCCTTGTGTGCCATGGCGTGACGCCATGAACTCGTTGCATTCTGGCCATCATGCGATTGGGACTGCGAGGAAAACACAAAGACGATTAGAAGTAATGAGAATTGAGCGTTAGAACAAATAAATAAATAAGTGCGTAGTGTGTACCCAGGCACTGGCGTCTTAACCGAGGGGGCGGTTGCCTTGGTGGTGCATGGCCCACCCATCTGCAGCGGCACTCCCGACGGAGGGCGTGCCTCTCCCTCACTCATCGGAGACCCACTTGTCCACGATGGCGCCTAATAGTCTCTCTGTGCTGGCGCGCACCAAGAAGGACACATCTGCATGCCATCAAGTATTGTATTAGAAATGTTAGAATATAAAATGAAGGCTACCTATTCTTCATGGAATGAGTCAATAACAATGTTTTATAACTTATCTGAGGTGCTCGCTCCACGGTGAGTGTCATGGTCGTGGCCTCGCTCTTCCCCTGGTACCGACCAAGGGCGTCGACGAGTGGTTGATGTGTACTTGCAGCCTCGCCCTCGTAGTCTGGTCCGTGACTCGCCCCTGCATGCCCCATCTCGCACCTTTGTCACCCAAAGGGTCATGCCCCTCCTCCAACGTGAAGAAGTCCTGCATACAGACATCATGTGTCATTTCATTATTTCAAGAACATCTAATGATTCCATAGTATTGAGCAATGTAGTGTGATGTAGACTCACCCAGAACTCACGCCTGATCCGCTCCTGTACGGTGCCGTACACGGCATCCACGGCGGAGTTGAAGTGGTCCCACGTCAGGAGGTGACTCAAACAGGCGTGGGTGACCAAACCAGTAGCAAAGTGGATCAGGCCGCCGAGGATCCCATTGCACTGCCGATGATCGCCCCCGGACACAAGTTCCTAGTTCCTACAGGAGTCAGGAAGAAGAATTGTTAGTCCGCAGTTCGGTTTTCAGCATATGAACAAGAAGAGATGCAAAATGAACGGATACTTGTCGCCCTTGGGACGAATCACCGGCCTCCTCTGAAACAGGATCGGCCGCGTCGGGAGCTGCGAGGACCCGCGCAAGTACGGTGCCGATGAGGTGCTCGAAGTGGAACCCCCCGCCACCCCCTAGAGGAAGTGTCACCCCCCGCCACCCCCCCAGAGGAAGTGTCACCCCCTCCTGTCCGGGGGGCCAGCTGCTGGTCCTCGTCGTCAATGGTCGTCGTCCGGTCCTCCTCGGGGGGGGACGGACGTGACAGGCATCGCACCGCCTCCTCGGATGGCAGCATGGGCGGCGGGCCGACGGCTCCTCGCCAGCGCCTCGCCTCCGCCTCCGCCTCCGCCTCCGCAGATCTGAGTTGTCCTCGCGAGAGCGAGTTGCAGTCTGGGTCCATATCCGCCAAGCATTTTGTTGAGTGCCTGCAAATACAAAGAGTAAACCAGTTTTGACAATATAGAAAATATAGAGATGCAAAATGAACAAAACATAACTAGAAAATAATAATAATATAGTATTACATGAATTAGAAATAATCTTGAGATTGGCGTGGCCGGATCATAAGTGTCGTCATCACTAACAATATTGTCTAACATTTCCGCCTCATCTCCATCGTTGTCATCAATGGCAGCGCCAAACGTAATAATCGCTCAAGCGATTGCTAAGTCTTTGGCATTTTGCACCTCTTCTCCATCGTCCTCATCTCCATCGTCCTCATCAATGTCATTGTCTACTTCCATGCCCATCAGCAAAAACATGTCTATGTGAAACATGCCATCTAGCCCCTCGGGTTGATAGAACTCTCTGTATATGTGTTTGGGTCAAAGTTGTAATCCTCATCGTTTGGGATAGGCACTTTGCCATGCGGTGATACCAAGCTGCAAGAAGGTACCAACCCTCAAGAGTGGGATCTTTTGGCACGCCCATGGAAGATAATAAACTTGCGTGGCTGTTGAGCCACAATATAGACATCGTCTCCTTGATAGAGGGAATCTTGTCAATTTCAACTTGTCCAATCTCAGGGGCTCTTCTCATGACATTGGGATCGAACCAATGGCATTTGAATACGACTGGCTTATGACCTCCGCGAAGCTCAAAGTTGAGCTCGTATATTTCTTCGACTATGCCGTAGTAGTAGTCGCGGTCATCGGTGCCAGGCGTCATTTGAACTCTAGTATTCGTGGTTTTTGATTGGGCCGTGAGCTCGTGGCTTCTTGTGTGGAAGCGATAGCCATTCACATCATATGAGTGAATGACTTGACCCTATAGGGGAAGCCTTTGACAACCTGTTTCAACTCTTCATCCATTTCGCATCCGTATGCGTGC